CTTTATCCAGAATACAGAAAGTATTATTTTATTTTTATTTTATAAAAAAATTTTATTTATTATTTTTATTTTATGTGTATGCGTGTACTACCTGCATGTAGGTAAGAGCACCAGTGTAGTACAATGCCCACGGAGGACAGAAGAGGCTGTCGAATCCCCTGGAACTAGAGTTACAGACAGTTGGTAGCTGCCATGTGGGTTCTGGGATTCGAACTCGGGTCTTCTGCCAAGAACAGCCAGTGTTTTTACCTGCTGAGCCATCTCTCCAGCCCCAGGACATTAATTTTTACACTCAATTTATAAAGGACACTAGGGGCTGGAGAGTATTCTCTTGAGATGCTAGGTGACAGCAGTAAGCAGCAATTCCCAGTCAGCCAGGAGGTCATGAAACTAAGCATCATATGCTATGTAATGTTCTGGTATGCTATGCTGAGAAGCAGGAGGGGTATATAAAATGCACTTTTGGCGTAGGATGTTTTCAATCTACATGGGCTTATCAGGAGGTATCCCTTTTATATCTCTTTCTTTCTATCTATCTATCTATCATCTATCTATCTCTATATATGTATCTATCTCTATACATATATATGTTGTTTTAAGATAGGATCTATGTGTCTATCTATGTTCTGTAAAAGCAACAATCATTCTTAACCACTGAATCATCTCTCCAGCCCCCAGCATCCCTTTTGTAAGTAGAAGGGAATTTCTATTTGAATTCGGAATGGTTTTTAAATAACATACATACACCAGGGCATAGCTAACATAAGTAGACAGCTATAGGTCTAATGCAGAGAAAAGACTATTATGCAAATATATGAAGAGTTTAAGCTATTTCAACAAAGAAGCCTGCCCCTATGGAACAGGGAGGGGAACAGCAATTCCCAATTTTTTAAGGCATTTTGAGGACATTATGAATACCTTACATATGAATTATGAGAAAATACAATAAAGTGAAACAAAAATGATGAGAACCAAAGTCCTGAAGAGATTTCTAAACCTTCCCTGTGACATCACTGCATGAAAAAAGACTTCTTGAGCTTACACCAAACAATATTGGTTCTTTTAAGTTGTAACTGATTATGCTTTCTGTCATCGTGTGCCACATGATTAATGGACAAATCTACATTTGTGGTAAAGACAAATCCCATGCTGAAGAAGAGGCCCTAACCACAATTCAGAGCTTAAAGAATGGCTTATTGCCAAAGTGCATCTGAGGAATGAAGAAAATGCCAAACTGTTTTCACAATGAACTCCACGTGCACTAAAGGCATCTTGGATCATACCTGCCTGCTTTTATGAAGATGTGTACAAAGAGGCAAACTAACAATATTACAAGCTTGTAGTCACATTAAACTGACTGAAATACATAAAATGTTAAAACATTAAAAATGGACTAAGACATTCACTAGTACCTTGGCTCAATTCTGGTGAAGCTCAAAAATTAATTAGTCTAGGCCATTACCCTCAAGAAGCCCTAGCCCACTCATGTTCTCCTATTCAAATACAGACCAGGCACAAAGCCTCAGATGAGGTATAAATGAGGTGGGTTCTCTGCCTCCTTTTTCTATACAGTCAGTGGAAAAACACTCTGTGGTAAAGTAAGTACCAGGAAGCCAACAAGCTATTTTGAAATAAACCCTTTTTGTTCTGGGTCAGCTCTTTTAAATTTGGACAACCTCCTAGGACCCAAGATTTATGCTATTTTCATAGCATCCTTCTGATTGACTCTTGCTGGTCTACTCACTTGCCATTTGACCTGCTTGGTTCTGCAACTCAGAAATTGGCCTTATGCAGAGCAAATTCTTTTGTTTCTTCAAGTCACAAGTAATGAGGAGGGGAAAAATTTGGGAGAACAAAGAGGACGGGGGGCAAAGGAGACAGAACACTGGAGCCAAGTGACAAAGACAGAGGAGAAAAAGACTGCTTGGGGGAGTGTCAAAGACACCAAATGAAAGGGAAACGAAAGAGTAATAGAGAATCTAGTGGCCATAAAAGGGCCAAAAATGGAAATGCTTTAGTTGGAATACAGTTTTTCTTCTCTGGGATATGAGCATAGATCACATTCAATCTTTCCTTATAAACAATTGCATATTTGGCTATCTATACACTGTGAGAAAAATCTACAACTATTAAGTAAACTACTTCCAAGTTTTGCTTCCCCAAAGTCCAAGCCTTCCTGGTACTTTCAGTTACTCTTTAACTTCTGTTTCCAAGTCTACGAGATGAGAATGGTGGAGCACTATTGCAAAGCATGAACTAATAAATGTAAAATAACCTGGCAAGGATGAGTATCAGTACACTGAGACCAAAGACTTCACAACCTTAGACATATCAGTATCCCAGTCACAAGAATTCAGTGATGACGAACCCATAGAGATTAAGATTGTTTCAAAATAAGATTGTCTCTGTATACCTACCAGGTCATTCTATTCATAAATCAAGAGGCCAGTAAAAATACAGCCTATTATCCAATGACAGGACAAATGCATATCTTAAAAAATAGTGTCCAGGGCGTGGTGGCGCATGCCTTTAATCCCAGCACTTGGGAGGCAGAGGCAGGGGGATCTCTGGGAATTCAAGGCCAGCCTGGTCTACATAGTGAGTTCCAGGACAGCTGGGGCTACAGGGAAACCCTGTCTCAAAAAGACCAAAAAAAATAAAGTGTCATCAGAAATGTATTCATTAAAATGTATTCATTAGGTAGATACTTACCAGGGGACAGGGCTATAAGAATCAACAAAATAAAATCTGTTAATGGCGTAAAGAGTAAGTCAGAGAATCAGGGGACAGAATGGGGAAGGAGCTAGTGTGCTTTTCAAATGTTAATGTTTTCTATGGCTCTTACTGCCCAACTCATTCTTGCTATAGATATTTATAGATGCTGCCTGCCTCCATCTTGTCTCTGATGGAGGCTAGAATTTCTCACCTGCAGGTTTTCAATGAGAATTTCAACATGGCAGTCTTTAAAAGAAATTAAAAAAAAAAAAATTATGTGTATGAGTGTTTTACCTGCATGTATGTAAATGTACCCATGTGTGCAATGTCCACAGAGACCAAAAGGGTGTCTGGTCCCCTGGAACTGGAGTTACAGACAGTTGTTAGCTGTCATGTGGGTGCTAGGAACTGAACTTGATTCTCTGCTAGAGTAGCCAGTGCTCTTAACCACTGAGCCATGTCACCAGCCCCAACACAGCAGCCTTAATAAAAGTAAATTAACATGTATCTGTTTAATTTAATTGTTAACTGTTACCATCACGTTTTGCGCCACTGTTGTGACACTGCCAAGTAAATACTAAAGCATTCTAGCCTTGTTTCTGACTCTGCAGTTCTGTCCCAGGAGTCCTTACAGCAACCATGAAGAGGAAAAAGAGGCACCTGTGTGCTCCCTAGCCACTATCTTCCCCTGCTGCATGCTTACAGTTACTATTTTTGAAGATTACATATTACATGATAGCTGTTGACACGAGGTCACTAAATGTCACATGATCTTTGTAGCTCCCCTAATAGGCTAGTAGACCCTCACAGCCTCAATCACTGGCTGTGTATGAGAATCTGACTACATCACTAATGACAACTGTGTGCCTCATGCTGTGGTAAGTCTGGCACTGTGAAGAATGATGCACACCTTCCCCAACTACATCCTAGTGTCTGAGCAGTTCTGCAATATACAAAAAAGTGGCTTCATTGGATATTTCAAAAAAGCTTCAGGTTTTCTAGTTCCCTGATTTTCCTTACAGGTACTGACAAATTCTGAGGTCCACACTTAAGAGGAGTAGACGTACTTTTTTTGAGCTATCTCACATCCCACAGACATCTAGAATAGTACTATTTCCTCAAAGAAATGCAGTATAAACATGTGACCATACTTAGTGACAACAGTATCATCACTCAGAACACTTAAAATTTTGTTATCTTCAGAATCTAAAACATGTTTTTAAAAAGTCCCAAGAAAGCCAATTCTTGTTTTAAAGAGTGATTCTGAGATCTTATCTAGTAGCAAATGCCTTAACTTAGGATATACTCTTAACCAAGAGATGGAGTTCTGTTGCTGGCTCTGGCCTCTGAACCCACTAAGCTAGACTGTAGTTTATTTTCCTTCTTAACTCCATGCTAGGAGGGAAAAATTCACCCAAAGAATAGACAAGCTGCTATGGTGCACTCAAGAAGAAAAAAAATATCATAGCTCCCAACAGTTCAACCAGCTTGAGGTGGGACAGGGTAAAGTTCCAAGTGGGTAAACATGGATGAATGTAAGAAAGAGTCAACCCTATTACGTGATGAAAAGCTAAGCAATGCTACTGAAAAGAGTAGGAAGAAAGAAGCCATCTGGAGACAAAGGAGAGTTGGGAGGTGAGGGGGATCTGGGGAACAAGTAACAGAATAAAGGAATTACGTTCTTCCATACCCCAAATCAACATTCTCTCATTCATTGCCTCCCTACAACAATGTATGTCTACACACGTAAGTTCAAACAACTGCTGTGTGAACTTTTAGAGACAGGAATAAGCATCTACTCCCACCAAAAAGGGTAACAAGGACAGACCAAGTATGAGTCCACCAAATCTAACCCATGGCAAACCAATGGGCAGAATTACAAACAGCTGGAAACGAAGAACAAGACAAAGTTGCAGGGCTCTCAAATGACCTTCCTTGTCCCCTTCTTTTCTGGGGGAACACCAACAAGCTCTGTCTGGAGGGTCTCTTGAAAAGAAGTCACAGCTGTTCTGATGAAGATGATGGCTATTATGCTCAGAGGCCAGCATTCTATACCCACCACCATTAGCAGGGCAGTTAACCCAGTGACTGGAAGGTTATTACTTTGTCTTCTACAATTTCAAAACATGGTTTCTAAGGAGTATATTGTACATAACTCAGAGAACGAACTATGACTTTTAAGTACATCTCTAAGAATTTGCAGAGAAAGATGAATTATGCTTATTATCTTCTGCCCTCCTCTTCGGGCAAAGAATCCTTCCTTTTCTAAACTTCCAAGTATAGAAAATAAATGCACAAATTTCATTGCCATGAAAGAATTTATCAATACCAGAAGTCATCACCCTCTGTTTTCTAGGCAGTAAAAATTATATTTCAGATACTATCTTAAAATGTATCTATGCTGATAGTGTCCTACTCTGAAGCTTTATTTGTTTAAAAATATTCACCAAAAATTCTATGACCGTCCTCAACAGATTTACAAAGCAAAGACTTACAAAGCAAACCTGCTGTTATGAGGACGCTGTGGTAGGCACAGGTACTAATCTTAGAAAACTGTTATTATCACATAAATCTTTGCAAAAACAGAATTTCTAACATTTAAATATTTATAAGACTGCATTCTTTTTTTTAACTTTATTTTATTTTTTTCTGATACAGGGTCTCTTTGTAGCCACAGCTGGCCTGGATTTGCATGGAGACCAGGCTGGCCTTGAACTTACAGAGATCCGCCTGCCTCTGCCTCCCAGAGTGCTGGAATTAAAGGCATGGGCCACCACACCTAGCTTAATACTGCATTCCTTTAAAAAAATTTACCTTTTGAATAAAATATTTATTAAATAAATGAGTCCTAATATATTACAATAAAAAATAGTGAGCTTCCCTCTGATTTTTTAATTCATAAATGCAAAGCGAAAGCAAATCACAAGTAGTAAATATTACAAATGTCTTATAATGATGAATCTTTAAATATTTATCAGGATAAACAATAGTGTAGAAAAAAATAAAGCAACTAAAACTGGGTTTTATAAATTAACTATTCCCTTCCATCAGAGATGAGAAATGGTGGATTTGGTAATTCCTATATGATACCTGAAAGTCAGAGGGTTGACATCAACTTGGCAAACTGGGATTTACAAGACTGGGGCATACATTTATGACATTTCCATTTGATTCTTTTTCTGCTTCATACTATCTCTAGAATGCGTTATTGCTGGAAATCTGAAAACACTGATCTATGAGTTGATAAACTCCACAATGCATGATACAGGGAAGGATATGGCATAACATGACCTGGTAAAATAGCTGGGGCTGACACCATCAAGAGCCGCTGCTGGACTGTTTTCCTATTCCCTTCTGCTCCGTATATACTCCTATAATAACTTTCCTGATTTCCTTATATAAAAAGAATAGGAGGGATCCATGCAGGTGAGACAGAGGGTATGGTATATTAGAAGCCACAAGTAACTGCTCTGGTCAGTTCTTTCCAGCAAGGCAGGACAATGTAAAACTAATACCACTCTAAAGGAACTTGATGACTACAGAAGGAATATGCCTAAGGCAAGAAAGAAAAGAAGAAAGAAAGAGAGAGAGAGAGAGAGAGAGAGAGAAAGAAAGAAAGAAAGAAAGAAAGAAAGAAAGAAAGAAAGAAAGAAAGAAAGAAAGAAAGAAAGAAAGAAAAGGTAGGTAAAGAAATAAATAGACCCAATCAATAGCTACTTAAGGGTGTATGTGTTTTCTCTATTTTGACCTTTAATCCCAGCAGTAGGGAGGCAGAGGCAGGTGGATCTCTGTGAGTTCAAGGCCAGCCTGGTCTACATAGTGAGTTCCAGGACAGCTGGGGCTACAGGAAGACCCTTTTTTGTCTCAAAAAGGCCAAAAAAAAAAAAAAAAATTATTGAA